ATACTTCTTCTTCTTCTCATCCTTCTTCTTCTTCTCATCCTTCTTCTTCTTCTCATCCTTCTCCTTCTTCTCATCCTTCTCCTTCTTCTCATCCTCTTCTTCTTCTTCTCATCCTTCTCCTTCTTCTCATCCTTCTTCTTCTCATCCTTCTCCTTCTTCTCATCCTTCTTCTTCTCATCCTTCTCCTTCTTCTCATCCTTCTTCTTCTCATCCTTCTTCTCATCCTTCTCCTTCTTCTCATCTTCTTCTCATCCTTCTTCTCATCCTTCTCCTCTTCTCATCCTTCTCCTTCTTCTCATCCTTCTCCTTCTCCTTCTTCTCATCCTTCTCCTTCTTCTCATCCTTCTCCTTCTCCTTCTTCTCATCCTTCTCCTTCTCCTTCTTCTCATCCTTCTCCTTCTTCTCATCCTTCTCCTTCTCCATCTTCTCATCCTTCTCCTTCTCCTTCTTCTCATCCTTCTCCTTCTCCTTCTTCTCATCCTTCTCCTTCTTCTCATCCTTCTCCTTCTCCTTCTTCTCATCCTTCTCCTTCTCCATCTTCTCATCCTTCTCCTTCCCTTCTTCTCATCCTTCTCCTTCTCCTTCTCCTCCTTCTCCTTCTCCTTCTCCTTCTTCTCATCCTTCTCCTTCTTCTCATCCTTCTGCTTCTCCTTCTTCTCATCCTTCTCCTTCTCCTTCTTCTCATCCTTCTCCTTCTCTTCTTCATCCTTCTCTTCCTTCTCCTTCCTCATCTCCAAGGGCATTTAAATTAAAGGTACAGTGTTCTGCACTAATTTAAAAGCCCTTTTTATAAGTTAACTTCGTAGCGAATAAATTTGCATCGAATCGAATTTCTTCCTGAAATTCGGCGAATCAGCCGAATCGAATTTTTGAACAATTCGCTCATCTCTAATTGCAAGAACAGATTCTGGGAGCCCGGTTCCAATTTACATAGGCATGCCTACGAAAAGCCATTGTGGCAGACTCTTGGGAGTCAGGGCAGAAGCATTGCTTTTCTGGGAAATAAATCAATATACACTATATTGCCATAAGTACTGGAACCCTGCCTTTGCACGCACATGAACATTAATGGCATCCCAGTCTTTGACCCTAGGGTTCAATATTGAGTTGGCCCTCCCCAGCTATAACATCTTCAATTCTTCTGGAAAGGCTGTCCACAAGGTTTAGGAGTGTGTCTATGCTAATGTTTGACTATTCTAGTGCATTTGTGAGGTCAGGCACTGATCTCAGCTGAGAAGGCCTGGCTTGCAGTTTCCACGCTAATTCACCCCAGAGGTGTTCTATCAGGTTAAGGTTAGAGATTCTGTGCAGGCCAGTCAAGTCAAGTCAAGGCCAGTCTATCTTAAACTTGCTCATACATGTCTTTATGGACCTTGCTTTGTGCACTGGTTCACAGTCATGTTGGAACAGGAAGGGGCCATCCCCAAACTGTTCCCACAAAGTTGTGAGCATGAAATTGTCCAAAATGTCTTGGTATGATGACGCCTTAAGAGTTCCCTTCACTGGAACTAAGGGGCCAAGCCCAAACCCTGAAAAACAACCCCACACCATAATCCCCCCTCCACCAAACATTACACTTGGCACAATGTAGTCAGGCAAGTACTGTTCTCCTGGTAACTGCCAAACCCAGACATGTCCATCGGATTGTCAGACAGAGAAGCGTGATTTGTCACTCCAGAGAAACACATCTCCACTGCTCTAGAGTCCAGTGACGGCGTGCTGTACACCACTGCATCCGATGCTTTGCATTGCAAAGTGGTGATGTAAGGCTTGGATGCAGCTCCATGGTCATGGAAACCCATTCCATGAAGCTCTCTACATGTCGTTGTGCTAATCTGAAGGCCACACAGGTGGATTGGCTCTGTCATTTTACATGGCCTACCACTTCATGGCTGAGTTGCTGTTGTTCCCAGTTGTTTCCACTGTGTTATAATACCACTAACAGTTGACTGTGGAATATTTAGTAGCAAGGAAATATCACGGATGGACTTATTGCACAGGTGGCAACCTATTACTGTACCACGCTTGAATTCATTGAGCTCCTGAAAGCGACCCAAACTTTCACAAATGTTTGTAGAAGCAGTCTGCATGCCTAGGTGCTTGATTTTTTTACACCTGTGGCCATGAAGGTGATTGGAACACCTGAATCCAATGATTTGCAGAGTGAGTAGAGTGGGATGGGGGATGGCCAGAATTCTGTAGTCCAGCAGAAGACCCTGTATTGTCAGCCCAAACAGGAAGTTAAAACACCTGCATTTCTTGCCTGCAGCATTTTAAAGAGGATAAAAAGGGGAAATGTGCAAGTATTGGAGAGATATTCTGAATGTGTTTTTTCCAGATTTACATCTTGAGGCATATTTTGTGGGGGTTATGGTAAAAGAATAACTCCACTTTTGTTTAGAAATAAACTTTAGTGTACATTGCAGGGAATTTAACAAACGTTGTTGCAGAGTCCTACCTTTTGCTGCTCTGAAGAAAAAGTGATTTGTTTCTTCATATCACCATGTTCACCACTTTGCAGACTGGTTCAGAATGGGACATCTGGTTCATTATAATCTCAGTGAACTCTGTGTTCTGTTGAGAAAAGTTGCAGTGTTTGCATCCCTTGAGAAATAATTACCATTTGGAAGCATCTCCCCAAAAACTATATTTCTATTGCAGGGGATGCCTAAATTCTGACTTGTAAATTAGTGCAGAATTCTAGGAAAAAAAAGAGAAGCCCCACAATGATTCACTTAATTAGCTAGATCACACATAATTAACAGAACAGACATAGATAGACTGATGTTCGGTCCATCCATAGCCAGCTTAACTATGAAATTCCAGTGCAGATCTGGGATGTATTTCTTAGCTAAAGCTGAAAAAGCAAACCATTGATATGCATCCTTCAAAGTCATGGTTTTAGAAGTGATGTCACTTATTTTCCACAGATGAAGGACATGATGGCTATTTTTGTCAGGGTCATCACATCACTCCCAGCCAAGACCAAAAAAAGTACCGACATGAGAAAGTGGCAAAAGGTTCATTTCTAGACTGCGGGGTCATAATTACAAACGAATCCAATAGTAATCAGCAAACAAGTATTTCCCCTTGCTGTTTTCTTGCCCTTGTTAAACTGACATTAAATAGATCTAAGGGATATATATATATATATATATATATATATATATACACACATATACACCCTGTGGACATCCCCACCTGGTGTACAAGTTCTGGTTCCTCCAATTTTTTTTTTCATTTTTTATTGTGGTGTGATAGAGAGATGAAGTACACCCTTCACATTTTTGTAAATATTTTATTCTATCTTTTCATGCGACAACACTGAAGAAATGACACATGGCTACAACGTAAAGTAGTAAGTGTACAGCTTGTTTAACAGTGTAAATGTGCTGCCCCCTCAAAATAACTCAACACACAGTCATTAATGTCTAAACCACTGGCAACAAAAGTGAGTACACCTCTAAGTGAAAATGTCCAAATTAGGCCCAATTAGCCATTTTCCCTCCCCGGTGTCATGGGACTCGTTAGTGTTACAAGGTCTCCGGTGTGAATGGGGAGCAGGTGTGTTAAATTTGGTGTTATCGCTCTCACTCATACTGGCCACTGGAAGTTCAACATAGCCCCTCATGGCAAAGAACTCTGAGGATCTGAAAAAAGAGAATTGTTGCTATACATAAAGATTGCCAAGACCCTTAAACTGAGCTGCAGCACAATGGCCAAGACCGTACAGCGGTTTAACAGGACAGGTTCCACTCAGAACAGGCCTCGCCATGGTCGACCAAAGAAGTTGAGTGCACGTGCTCAGCGTCATATCCAGAGTTTGTCTTTGGGAAATAGACATATGAGTGCTGCCAGCATTGCTGCAGAGGTTGAAGGGGTGGTGGGTCAGCCTGTCATACGCCGCACACTGCATCAAATTGGTCTGCATGGCTGTCATCCCAGAAGGAAGCCTCTTCTAAAGATCATGCACAATAAAGCCTGCAAACAGTTTGCTGAAGACAAGCAGACTAAGGACATAGATTACTGGAACCATGTTCTGTGGTCTGATGACACCAAGATAAACTGAATTGGTTCAGATGGTGTCAAGTGTGTGTGGCGGCAACCAGGTGAGGAGTACAAAGACAAGTGTTTCTTGCCTACAGTCAAGCATGGTGGTGGAAGTGTCATGGCCTGGGGCTGCATGAGTGCTGCCGGCACTGGGGAGCTACAGTTCATTGAGGGAACCATGAATGCCAACATGTACTGTGACATACTGAAGCAGAGAATGATCCCCTCCCTTTGGAGACTAGGCCACAGAGCAGTATTCCAACATGATAACGACCCCAAACACACCTCCAAGACGACCACTGTCTTTCTAGAGAAGCTGAAGGTAAAGGTAATGGACTGGCCAAGCATGTCTCCAGACCTAAACCCTATTGAGCATCTGTGGGGCATCCTCAAAATGGAAGGTGGAGGAGCACAAGGTCTCTAACATACACCAGCTCCGTGATATCATCATGAGGAAGAGGACTCCAGTGGCAACCTGTGAAGCTCTGGTGAACTCCATGCCAAAGAGGGTTAACACAATGCTGCAAAATGATGGTGGCCACACAAAATATTGACACTTTGGGCCAAATTTGGACATTTCCACTTAGGGGTGTACTCACTTTTGTTGCCAGCGGTTTAGACATTAACGGCTGTGTGTTGAGTTATTTTGAGGGAACAGCAAATTTACACTGTTATACAAGCTGTACACTCACTGCTTTACATTGTAGCAAAGTGTCATTTCTTCAGTGTTGTCACATGAAAAGATAGAATAAAATATTTACAAAAATGTGAGGGGTGTACTCACTTCTGTGAGATACTGTATATACTGTATGTATATATAAAATAGATATACAAGCAGTGGCTCCAAAGAGTTTAAAAATAAATCAGAAATAACAGACCATGTCTTTTTAAACATTCTAAACAAGAACAGTGCATATTCTTTGGTAATTGAAGAAATACGGTCTGTATCAGGGGCGGACTGACCATTTGGAAACTCGGGCACTGCCCGAGGGCCCGGGGTCAGTAGGGGGCCCCATGAGATGCTCCTGGTACCTATTTTTATAGGCTTTTTTGAGTTTGGGCAAGGACACAGGGGCCCCATGATCCCCTATTACCCAGGGGCCCCATGAGTTGTCAGTCCGCCCCTGGTCTGTATGCAGGATTTAGTGCACTGTTAACTAAAAAAATAAAAGAGAAAGAAAAATCAGCAATGAGCAAAAGACATTCTTTATGGCAAACTGGCTGAGCCCCACATCCAAATCAGACATTGCAGATGCAGTGGCACAACACATGTCCCAGAGGAGTGCCGAGAGCGAATAGCATGGAGGGTCTCTATTACAAAGTCTCTCTGGATACCTTGTGGTGCATTTAAAGCAGCATTGTTCAACTGTAAAAAGAGGGTCTTAAGTGCAGTCCTTGACACTTCCAGAGGGCTGTGAGTTAGCAGTATGTTTTTCTTGCATTAAGGTGTATTACGTCAGAGTTAGGCAGCCCATGCCCATTTAAAATTAATGAGTCTGTAACACAACGCCATGCTTAAAATGTAGGTACTGTTGCATTATTTGCAACAATTCAAAATGCAAACTGGACAGTTAATTATAGAGTCACTATTGGTGTCAGTGACTGCAAAAAAAAAAAAATAAATCGGTACCAGTGCTATTACTCACCTCCCCCTGTTGCACTTGTGCTTAGTATCTGTGCTATTTATCTTCTCCTTGGGTGGTCAGTGCAGTGCCAGTGAAGTGAGACCCCTTACCCAATCACACACTTGACAGCAGGAGTAAGTGCCGAATCCCAGAGAGCATTTCAGTGCCCAGCATCCCGCTGTTGCTCTGCAAAGTTCACAGTTGCAGGTGGTGGCCCAACCCTGTACTTGGAGGGCTGCACACAAGTCATGGCCAGTGTATTGGGCCACAGTGATTTAACTCTTTTTCTGCCAGCACTTTATGCCATACATAGGTGGCAGCGGGGGGGAAACGGGGGTTTACACACACTCTCAACTGATGGCTATTGACTGTCAGATGAAAGTGATTGAGCATCTGTGCAGCTGCCAGATTGCGTCCACACGCCCCCGTAAGAGTCAGTCCCCACCAGTGCATGCCCCTGCCAGCTTTCCTAGGTTCCATGTGCCCATCGTTGGATCCAAGACCAAATGAGACTGAGATGTCACCAGGTAATCAGTGGATCTCCCCTTCCCTCTAATAACTCAGAAACGACATGTAAATCATTACTTCCGGGCCCTGGTGTCACTTTCCCCAGCCTTTCCCTACAATCTACACTCCATTATACTTGGTTCACACATATGTGTGTTTTAGTGCGCTTTGCAGAAATGCACTACAGTCCAATTAACATGGTTTCCTATGGGAAATGATCTATTCATTTTCAGCTTCTGCGTTTCTGGAAAGAGTCAGGGACTTGTACTCCCACAGCAGATTGCATTTTTGGTGCTTTTTGGATGCGTCTTGTGTTTTTTTGCCCAATAGGAAAATATTAAGTGTAACTTTAATACACACTTTACACACATCAAGTTGCATCAAAGTTCCAATGTCTGTACCTTCTTTTTTCCATTTGCAATACCTTAAAAGACCCCTATAGGTCATCCGTTTGCCTTCACACTCCTCATGCCTCTTCCTGCTCCTGAACTGACCCTAGCCTGTTGTTTGATCACGCCTCTGCTTGCCGCCTAAACTGATCATACCTCTGCCTGCTCTGGAACTGACCCCGGCCTCTTTATTGATGATGCCTCTGCTTACCATCTGAACTATCAACCACATTTCTGCCTTCCACCTGAACTGACCTCAGCTTGTTAATTGACCACGTTTTTTGCCTGCTGCTTGTACTGATCTTCTGCCCTGCTACTGTAGTAGAAGGATTCAAAATAACAAAGGGGTGTCACATATATGAGAGGCTTCAGAATAGTTCATCAGAGTGGAGAAAACTAAGTTTTTGGTTTTCTGCCTGTTACCTGGACAATTCCTTTTGCTGTTTCTGACCACGTCCCTTCATGCTGCCTGGACCAATGCTCTCCTCTGTGGACAACTGCACTACTAAAACCACAGTTAATCTTGTGTTTACCCTCAACAAAATGTATTTTGGGGTTTAATTCTTGGTATGTACATGCTATGTATTAGAAATATGAAGGGCCTTAAAAAATTAAATTTATATCCCTAGAACACCTGATGGTGCTGCTTGCATGTTGGGACTCTCTATGTGGCCAGGATGTAGAAAAGGCTCACACATGTGGTATTGCCTTACTTAGGAGTAGCAGAATATATTTTTCATTTCCGTTTTCTTTTAACACAGAGGAACCCTCCAAACAACTCTCTATTTCCAGGGAACCTTTTTAATGATTGCTTTGGTGTGAGTGGGAACTCATCTCAGAGGCAGACATTGCTCATTTCTCAAAGAAACCCCTAGCAACCTTACACAGATGCTCCTAGAAGTTATGTGAAAACACACTTCATTCCTTGTATCTCCCAAACATCCCACAGGACTGTCCCAGGATGTCAACAAAAATCCTGATGTCCCACAGATCTGGCCCACATTCCACACTGAATATCACTGCCAGATCTAGGCAAAGGCAGAAGGGACACAGACCCACCTAGGGCACTGCGCATCTGGAGCAAGAAACATTTCTGCCCCTGGATTGTCTGGTTGCCAAGATGCAGGACTGAGCCCCGACTGCTCTGCCCTGGCTTTCCTTCATTTCATGTGTGGAAAAGATACGGGGGCTGTGTGCGCAGAAAAGAGCACGTTTACAGTCAGTGAATTTAATTTGCTCTAAATCCCAAGTTTCTTGGTTGCTAATTGAAACCTAATTGAAACCTTTTAAGCGATGCCCAAATTCCATTTAATTTGACCACTTTCTGTGCAGTATTCTATGAACAGAGCGTCTCAAGGTGGGATGTTT